TTTGCTTGTCTGTCTTTCCTTAATCCTTTCAACCCCCACTGGGATCACCCTTGGTCGTGCTGGCGTGGCACAGTGGGAGAGAGAGAGAGACAGAGAGAGAAACATTGATGTGAGAGAGGCACATCGATTGGTTTGTCTTCGCACATGACTCAACCAGGGCATGGGATCAAGCCTGCAACAGAGGTATGTGCCTGAACCTGGGACCCTTCAGTCCACAGGCCTATGCTCTTTTCACTGAGCCAAACCCACTAGGGCTAAATGAACATTCTTTGAAACACTATGGGGTTGGTATGGGCAGAGGGGACATCAGCAGCTCTTCTCTCTCATGTGGCTAAAATACAAGGTTATGTCATGGAGAGATGCATTTGCCATTAGTCACTTCCTCCCTTACTGGCTGACATCAGGAAAGACATGCATCCCTGGACCCCTTCCAACCTGGGCTGTGCACACACATAGTAGATGCTCCCTGCAACCAGGGGAGAGGTAGTTACTAAGCTGAGTCACTTGTCATGTGGAGGCCCCCAGCTGTGTCCAGGCCACGAGCAGCCAGCTGTGTGTTGTGGCCTCTGTTTCCCAAACCACACTTAGAATGAAATACCTGGACGCGGCCGGCATGGATCAGTGGTTGAGTGCCAACCTAGGAACCAGGAGGTGACAGTTCAATTCCAGTTAGGGCACATGCCTGGGTTGTGGGCTCAATCCCCAGTAATGGGCGTGCAGGAAGCAGCTGATCTAATAAAAGTGCAATATGCAAATCGACCGAACAGCCGAGCAGCAGAATGATCGTCCGGACAACCTTCTGGATGACCTTCTGGCTGCAAGAGCTGAGGCAGCTGGGGCTACAAAGGCCTACTCTTGCATGAATTCAGTGTATCAGGCCTCTCTGTATATAAAAGGCTAAGTGACTGACTGTATGTCTGTCCGACCGACTGGCCTGTACATATGATGTGCACTGGCAATTTAAAAATAAATGTTGACTGATGCATGCGCAATACATACAAAGCTCTCGCTGGTGCCAATCGCATGCGTGTTTTAATTTTATAATACTATATTATATATACTATTTTGACATATAATTATTTACAGTAACATAAGTACAGCATGAATCTTTCTTCTAATTAATATCCTCTCAATGTGCATGAATCCATGCACCCAGCCACCAGTATATAAATAAATTTCTGGAAACTTTTATGACAACAAAGGCTCCCAGAGCTTCCCCTCAAACACACAGTCAATGTTTCCATTCCCAGGAGGGTCTCCTTGGAGTCAATACTTACATCATTTTCTAAAAAATTAAACATGCATCTCTCTGCCATGGCCTTGGACTCCTCAAACTTTTCCATTGCTTGTGTGATCTCATTGTCGGGGATCTTTCCGACGTGCTTCCTTTTATAATCGTAGTCCAGGCGGCGGCCCTCCAGCCTCTTCAGGTGGTGCTGAGGGAGAGGAGACAGACCTGGAGCTGCTATCTCGGCAAGTGACACAGGGAGGCCTGCCGCACCTCTACAAGAAAAGTCATTACTTTTTCTCAGCCTACGTTTTAGGGGGCAGGGACCCAATTACTTTTCTTTTTGGTGGACATCTTAGCATCTATTAGAGGCTTCTTTCACTATAAATTATCAAGGAATATTTACGAAATGAACAAATGGATGGATGGATGGATGATAGCATAAATGGATGAATAGATCGATAGATGGATAGATGATAGTATAAATGGATGAATGGAGGGGTGATACCATAAATGGATGGATGGATGGATGGATGATAGCAAAAATGGATGGATGGATGGATGGATGGATGGATGGATGGATGGATGAATAATAGCATAAATAAATGGATGGATGGATGATAGCATCCTATCTAATAAAAGACAAAAAAGGTAATTAACTGTACCTCTGCTACCGTTCCCATTGACTAATCAGCGAGATATGCAAATTAACTGCCAATAAAGATGGCGGCCGGCAGCCACGCAGCTGAAGCAAGCAGGAGGCTTGCTTGCTCCAGTGATGGAGGAAGCCAAGGTTTCCCGCCTGCCGTGTAAAAAGAAAAAAAGGAGAGGCTGGGAGCTTTAATCGCAGGCCAGCCTGAAAACGGCCCTCTGCCCCTAACCCAGACTGGCCAGGCACCCCAGTGGGGACCCTCACCTTGAAGGGGGTGTGGCCAGCCTGAAAACAGCCATCAGCCCCTCATCCAGGCTGGCCAGGCACCCCAGTGGGGACCCCCACCCTGAAGGGGTTGTGACCAGCTGCAAACAGCCATCAGCCCCTCACCCAGGCTGGCCAGGCACCCAAGCGGGACCCCCACCCTGATCTGGGACACTCTTCAGGGCAAACCAGCTGGCCCCACCCATGCACCAGGCCTCTATCCTATATAGTAAAAGGGTAATATGCAAACTGACTCTAACAGCAGAAAGACTGGGAATGACTGGTCACTAGGACACACACTGAACACCAGGGAGCAGATGCTCAATGCAGGAGCTGCCCTCTGGTGGTCAGAGTGCTCACACATGGGGGAGCTCTGCTCAGCCACAAGCCAGGCTGATGGCTGCCAGTACAGCGGTGGTGGTGGGAGCCTCTCTTGCCTCCTCAGCAGGGCTAAGGATGTCCGACTGCAGCTTAGGTCTGCTCCCTGCTGATAAGTGGACATCCCCCGAGGGCTGCCAGGCTGCCAGAGGGATGTCTGATTGCCAGCTTAGGCCCAAGCCCCCAGGGAGCAGTCCTAAGAGAGCAGGTGGTCATCCCCCGAGGGGTCTGCAAGAGGGCACTGGCCAGGCTGAGGGACACTCCCCTCCCCCAGTGCACAAATTTTTGTGCACTGGGCCTCTAGTCCTATACAATAAAGAGCTAATATGCTAATTAGACCAAACAGCAGAATGACCATCCGAATGACACTGACATTCCAGACAACTGTCTGAACGAGCTTCCTGATGAAGTTGGGGCTGTGAGGGCTGGCTGAGGGTGCGAGGGCCAAGCCCCTTGCACAAATTTTGTGCATTGGGCTTCTAGTAAATGGGTGGATGGATGGATGATAACATAAATGAGTAGATGGATGGATGAATAATGACATAAATGGATGAATGGATGGATGGATTAAATGGATGACAAATAGTTAATATGGAACATAAGGACACAATATTGTCACTCAGATTCCATTTTCAAAGTTCTTTGCAGGATCCCTCACCAGCTCTGTTAATGTCCGTAATTTCCAAATAAATTATCTATACCAAAAAAAGGGATATGTCTTCTGGCACTATTGTCAAATCCTTATTAAGAAGTAGATGATAAAAACACAAATCTCTAGTATCTTCTAGAGCAAGCATGTCAAACTTGTGGCCCGCGGGCCGCATGTGGCCCACAACGAATATTTTTGCAGCCCAGCCAATATAAAGGTATGTAAGAAACGTTTTGATAAAAATTTCGCAACTTTTACAATATCCTGTTAGAGATAATTCTTAATAACAAACTACAATGTTTGTTAATGACTGATTGCTATCATCGTTTTGCATTCATTTCCCTTATGCAGCTTATGCGCAGGCGCACCATTTCTCTCCACTGATACTAGCAGCAAATATTTTAGCAGCTGGTGGCCACATCATTAGTCTTGGACTGAGTTCTTTGGTGTTCACAACAGAAAATATCTCGCTTTCAGAGAACAAGAAGAATGGGTTTATCTGCATTACGCTTATTCATTTGTGCAGTTATTCAGTGTCTGGTAAGTCCATGTTCAAGAAAAAAATATTATTTTTTATTAAAATGTTCTATTATTTTATGTGAATGATGACTCATTTATTTCAGCCCTTTGTATTCAACATGTCCCTATCGAAATAAACCTACGTTTCTATAAAAATTGAAGCTTTTTTCTTTTTTTTGTGGTCCACATATACTTAAACCTTGTTTATTTGGCCCGTGTTAGCTTTGAGTTTGACATGCTTGTTCTGGAGTACTTATATGTCTTCCATAAGGCTCAACAATTACAGAATGAGTTGAGTAAACACTACCATGAACGAAACACACACACCTTCTTTTATGTGAGCTCCATGTGGCCATTTTAGAAAGCTTTCCAAATATAAAATGAAGTCCTGGAAATTAATGACCACTTGTGCCATGTATCAAAAGAGGCCATGAGGCCAGCCATTGTGGCTCAGTGGTCAAGCACTGACCTAGGAAACAGGTCACAGTTTGATTCCCATGCCTGGGTTGTGGGCTCAATCCCAGTAGGGGTTGTGCAGGAGGCAGTGGATCAATGATTCTCTCTCTCATCATTGATGTTTCTCTCTCTCTCTTAAATCAATAAAAATATATATTTTTTAAAAAGATGCAATGAGCCCTAACCGGTTTGGCTCAGTGGATAGAGCGTCCGCCCGGGGACTGAAGGGTCCCGGGTCCAATTCCAGTCAAGGGCATGTACCTTGGTTGCGGGAACATCCCACGTGGGGAGTGTGCAGGAGGCAGCTGATCGATGTTTCTAACTCTCTTTCCTCTCCCTTCCTCTCTTTAAAAAATGAATAAAATATATATTTTTAAAAAGAAGATGCAATGAGTATGTTATGATTTTCATCATTGAAAACCCACTCCACAGTTTTAGAATCATTTGCTGTGAGTAATGGCTGTGGAAATAAGTACTGTTAGCTTGGTTTCTTGCTGGCTTCAATAAGCCACAGGCTAGCCCTAGCCTGTGTGGCTCAGTGGATAGACCATTGGCCTTTAGACCTAAGGGTCTCGCATTCCATTCCGGTTGTAGTCTCCTTCTCAGCAGGGGCACTGGTCAGTGTGTGAGCAGAAGGCAACCAGGCGATGTGTTTTTCTCACATCGATGTTTCTCTCTGTCTCTCCCTCTCTCTTCCATTCTCTCTAAAAACCAATGGAACAGCCTTAGCTGGTTTGGCTCAGTGGCTATAGCACTGGCCTGATGACTGAAGGGTGCTGGGTTCAAATCAACCAAGGGCACATGCCGGATGGCAGGCTCACTCCCCAGTGCGAGGCATGCAGGAGGCAGCCGATTAATGATTCTCTCTCCTCACTGATCTTTCTATCTCTCCCTCTCCCTTCCTCTCTGAAGTCAATAAAAATAAAAATATGTTTAAAAAATTAAAATTAAAAAATCAATGGAACAAATATCCTCGGATAAGTATTAAAAGGCAAAAGATTTATGCAGTCTGAAGAGAAATGAGAGCATAATGGATAAGTATTAAAATAAATAAACACCTTTACCTTAAAAAACACACATGCACAAAAAAAAAAAAAAAACTACAGAATAAAGGGCTCATGGTTCCTGGGGCTCCTGCCCAGGGGGCCAGGTGAACATCACTGAGTGATTATCTGTTTTGCCGCCCACACTAAGATGATGCTTTCGCTGGGTCCCTACAGAGACACGACCCCATGGTCTTAACTACAAACATCATTTTAAGTAGCAATGCAGGAGGTTACAGCTGAGAAAACTTACCGAAATCTCATTTAAATCTTCGTCGTGTACTAACTGGAGTGGATCAATAAAGGTTTCCTTGACGTTAATATCAAAGGATTCTTTCACCTCCGCCATCAGCTTCATAGCTTTGCCCATATCGGTCAGTGCGCTGCCTGGCACAGAAAAACAAATAAAAAGCGCTTGTTCACAGAGCGCACGGAGGTTGGCGGCGCTATTCACTTCTTGCCCAAGGTATGTGGGTGATGGTTTATTTAACAAGGTCTTCACTCAGGGACTGACGAGTAAAAGAATACAAACAAAAACTTCCTTTTTTTTTTAAACATATATTCATGGATTTCAGAGAGGAAGGGAGAGGGAGAGGGAGAGAGAGACAAATATCAATGATGAGAGAGAATCATGGATTGTCTGCCTCCTGCATGGCCCCTACTAGGGATCAAGCCCACAACCCAGGCATGTGCGCTTGACTGGAATTGAACCGTGACCTCTTGGTTCTTAGGTCAAAACTCAACCACTGAATATCCTATATAATAAAAGGCTAATATGCCAATAGACCAGTGGAACAACAGGAAGAACCAGTTGCTATGATGTGTGCTGATCACCAGAATTCATGTGTGGAACATGGAGGGCATCATCCATGGCGGGATGGTGCAGCAGGTGAGCGGGGGCGCCAGACCAAGGCAGGGTGCCAGTCACTGTCATCAGGGTGAGCCACTGGTAGTTACTGAAAATTCTTTGCTCCTTCATGCCGCGGTCCCACCTGGCACTCACACCTACTGCCAGCGCTGGCCATACTCGCACCCACTGCCGGTGCTAGAGCCACTGCTGGCACCCACAGCTGGTGGCCGGCACTGGTCCTCATCGCTTGGTGCTTTCAGCAGGTGCGAGCAGTAGCTGCCAGCAGCAATCACCCCTAGGGCTTTTCCACCTCCCCCTGCTCCTGAGGGGCAATCCAGGCTGGCAGATGCAACTCACATCCACTGCCAGTGACAGCCCCACTCCCACCCGCTGCTGGTGCCAGAGCCGCCGCTCGCACCCACTGCCAGTGCCAGCCCCAATCGCTAGGCGCCTTTGGGGGCTGCGGCACGAAAGACCGGGAGGGGGCATGCAGGATGGGCTGAGACCCAGCCCTGTGCCCACTACAGCCTCGCAGCCAACAGTGCTTTCAAGGTGCACAAATTCGTGCACTTGGCCCCTAGTAATCCTATCTAATAAAAGAGAAACATGGTAATTAGCCGTACATCTGCTACCCTTCCCATTGGCTAATCAGGGAGATATGCAAATTAACTGCCAGCCAAGATAGCGGCCGGCAGCCAGGCAGCTTGAATCTAACATGAGGCTTGCTTGCTTCAGTGATGGAGTACTCCAACGTTCCCCGCCTGCCACTGCCGGCCTCTGAGCTTACAGTTTGAAACATTGTTACAAATATAGAAGCTAAACAAAGCCCCAGAAACCTGCTTTCAGCCAGCCGAGATCTCAGAGTTGGAGTTGATACA